TGTCGCAACCCAGCAGCCCCTGTGACCTGCTCTGGGATTTTGCTCTGGAGCGACTCGCTCAGCTTCGGCAGGGCCGTTCTGCAGCACACGCAGTTGCTCAGCAGCTTGTTTGCTCTGCAAATTCAGTGAGGTGAATTTATAAGCAACAGCTGGATTTTGCTCTGGGCTGCATCCATTGCGCTCTTGCTGGCCTGCCGTGGTGAGGCCGATGACAAGAGCCCAAGAAACCCTGCTGCAGAGATGGTGCATTGTACTCTTGCATGAGCAGATGAAAATGCTGATAGCTCTGCAGCAGATGTGATGCGTTTGCTCCCTCGCCAACCTATGCAGATACCGTAGGGGCAGAGCAGAAGCAAAGTGTCCCTGGCTGATGGCAACGGGCCAGATCCCCTGGGAAATACGGCTTCTGTTGGGTGACACGTCACTTTTCCTCTTTTTACCACTATATTCAGACGTTGTTCTCCAGCATCAGCAGGGTTTTTGGAGCAGGAAATGTTCCAGACCGTTTCTGGGCCTGTCAGCTGGTCTCTCCCCAAGAGGGACTGAAGACCTGAGCTGCCAGAGCAGGGTTTCCCACAAGGGTGCGGTCTGTCCCTGCCGCACTTGCGCAGCAAATCCTGTTTGCAGCTGTCTGTCTGAGCTGTCTTTGATTCCTATCAGCTTTAATGAACTGCAGAAACAGTCTCGATCTGAAATGAGCATCCTGTCTGTGTCCCTGAGCTGGCTTTAGTATGTGATCTCAATATATGGAGCAGAGAAAGCTGCTGGTATTTATTAGTACGAGCAAGTGCTGGGTGGTGAGCTCAATGCCTTGTTTATGTAAGATATACAGTAAGAAGTGTTTGGTACGGCATGTTCTCCCTGAGAAGTCAACATAGCCTGAGCCTGTCCTGGCACCAGCTCAGCACACTTGTCCCGTTGCTCAGGATAGGTTTTGGGCAGCAATATCCCCTTGCCACCCCACAGCCGATGGTCACAGCATGGCTGCCCACTGTGGCGTGTCCCCTTGACCCAGGTGCAGGGCAAGGAGGTGCCATGAGGTGGTCTATCTGCTCTCGTTTCCCCGTGAAAGCAGTGACATTTGGATATCATACAGGAGTCCTCCTGGAGGGAATGCAGCAAACCCAAAGCATAGGGATGAAGTGTCCTGGCAGCCTTTCCTCAGTGCTGGCAGACTTGATGCTTTGGTCTCAAATCTCCTTCCCTCAGAGGAAAATGACTGATGTTTTTGGGAAGAGCTGCTCCATTCAGCAAGGTCTTGAGATTTACTTTCCCTGCATCTGTCTGCTGCTTGACCTAGGTGGGCGGAACAGAGAGGGGCTTGTTGCTCTGGCCAATGGGCTCTGCCAGCGGTTCTGGGCAGGATTCTTGGGCATGGAAGCGGCTCATTGGTTTGAGAAGCCTCCTGGGAAGGGTCTATGAGTCTTCTATTGCTTTGTCTGATCAGATAGCCATCTACGGAAGGTACCAAGGGCTGCTGTGCTCCATGTCATGTGTTCTCTGGTCCTGGCGCAGTGGTCGGCTGGTTGTCTTGCTCTTTGGGGAAAAGTCTGGTGAGATACCTGGCTGAGAGCCAGCGCTTCCACGGTTTGTTAGGATGGGCTAGAATACAAAAAAGAAAGAAAAAAAAAAGAGTCAAAACTGAGATTTACTTATGGGGAAACTGGGCTTTCTGAGGGGTTTCTAAGGTGAAGTACTGCCTAACGCTACTGGATGCTTGGCTCGCAGCAGGAAGCTGCGTGTGCATTCACGTCGCCTAATGAGGTGTCTGCAACTGTTCTCCTGCACTGGCGTTTCCGTGTCCGTAATCACCACTCTGTGGTGCCCACCGCTTTTCACAGCTAAAAACTGGTGTGCAGAGTACTGGCCCTGTCAGTACATCCATGCCAGCGGCCTCAGCCACTGAGGATGGAAACCATGAGGGCTTGAGCCTCTTCTCCACAGGTGGCACGAGGGCACCTCCCCACAGCACTCCCGTCCTCAGTGAGCCATCAGACACCCATCCGTCCCTGCGTCCGAGCTCTGAACGTCAGTTGCTACGTCTGTCAAAGCACGCAGACGCTGACGTAACCCCTTCAGCTTCGAGAAAGCTCCTTCCCGGCTTCGCCGC